TCTCATTTACTTTATTCCATTATCAGAGGCGGAGGCAGCGGCGAACAGGGGCTAGGATCACAGGCTGGAGGATCATGCTGCAAAGAGGTGGCAGCACTACTGTTTTACTTCCTCAAGCGGACAAAACAACAGCTAAAGCGTACATGTAAACCCCGCTACAGCCTTTAAACTCTTATATAATCTAGCTAGCTAGACAGGAAGCCAGGGGCCTCCCCCCCCTGGCGTCTTTTGCCCCAACGGGGACTGAAGGGCACGTGACTTGCGTACGTGCCCGCCTAGACGTTAAATAGACACACACACACACACACACACAAAGCAGGCTCCCGGTGGACAAGAAAAGTGGCAGAGAGGCAAAGATTCATTTTTTTGAACTATTAGCGTAACTTGATTCTAAGTACTAAAATGTTTAAAATATCTAGAACAATTACCTTTATTGTGCTATCGTTTTCGATAAATTACTTTAATTGTTATAAATAAATAATATAATATAATAGTTTTTGGTTAAGTTAGGACAAGATAAAAGAGGTCTCTGCCAATTTTCTTGTCCACCGGGAGGCAGGATAACAGCAATCATAATGATTACTGATATAATCAGGAACGCAAATGAAAACTCCCAAGAAACAAAGGAAAAGTATATAAATGAGAAACTTCGAACAACAGCGACTTAAGAAACAACTCCTTGCTTCCTCCCCTTCACATTAGCAATTTTCTTAATGGACTTCCACATCCCACCCTTCACTTTCTTTTGCTCTTCACCGCTTGCACTATTAGCAACTTCACTCTCCACGATCCTCTCAACCTCTCCATCACTGTCCCTGGCCAAGAGCCATAACTGCTCCATCAACACTGAATGATTGACCAAGTCCTCCAACTTGATCTTGAATCCCTCTCCCTCCAAGAATCCCGCTAACTGCGCGAGACCCATAATATCACCTCCCAACTCAAAGAAAGAACTCTCGGAGTCGATACTCTTCTCTTCACCAAGAATTTGCCGCCATCCGCGCGTAAGCATTTCAGAGTAGAGGAGGAGATGTTTACGATTCAGGGTATCGAGGGAGCGAGACATGCGACGAGCTGAGAGGGCTGAAGGATCTTCTGGCAGGTTTCGAGGGAGTCTATTGAGTTCGGAGGGGTCGGGCAGGATAGTACTTGGATTCTGCGAGAACAGAGTGGTTTTCTCGCAGAGAGTATTGAAGATATCTTCTGTGGTTGATTTGGTCATGTGAATGTTTGGGAGGGCGAACGTGAGCATTATCTCCATCTCTTCTGTCCCGTGAGGAATTGACAGAATAGAGAAATCTGCAAAGTCATCTTGGGAGCCAACTCCTCCAAATGAGTACTTGTTGTTTCCAAGTGAGAGCGAGGGGGTAAGCTGGATATTTTGATGCTGACAAGTTGTGCTGAAATTCGTCCAGTTCTCCCACGAAGTGCAATGCTTGATGATCTCACGAAATCCGAGAGATTCGTAGGCCATGTTTGAGGTTTGTTGGCCTTGGAGATGTTTCAACAGATCCAGAGCTGTCCAGCCGGCTTGGAATATGGCCCTTACTGGATTGGTATTGACACAGGGGCCCACGATGTTCTCAATCCCGGATATGGAGCCATTCCTGCCGCTAATGACGTTTCCAAATATGACATCGGAGCTTGCAGACAGCTCAGCGAGAGTTAGGGACCATGCTGCTTTGACGATTGTGGCAGCCGTTATACCTTCGTGAGACAGCGAGGCTGCTTTGACGATTCTTCTTAGCATCGTTGGTGGTTCGGGCCCTCGACTGTAATTTGGCCCTCTTCGGTGGACCAATTCCGTCATCTTTGACCCTTCCAGTAGTCCTTTCCAGTACTCATAGTGTTCGCTAGTAGTTTTGCCTACCGCAGATCGAACATAAGAAGAGAACGAGGGAGTTTGAGGGATCACTTCGCCATGGTATGCTGATCTCAATGCGTCTACAATTCGAGGTAAACACACACCGTCATATTGAGCATGAGAGAGCCGTATAATGATACGATGGTTATCCGAGTTCCTGAGTTTTGCGACTGTAAATCGGAGGTAAGATTCTCCAAGTTTAGGGCCTGAGACCCGATCTCTTTGTTGAAGCTCAGAGGTAAACGCCTCAAGATTATCTGTCACCTCAACATTAAATACCGGATTGAGATTTCGAAGGACAACTTGGAAGAATCGGCTGTTGTAAGGAACGAAAACAGTGCGTAGAATATCGAAGGCATCGACGACTTGATTGATACTTTGTCTTAACCGCTTGAGATCCACTGTTCCACTCCCTTCAAGGAAGAAGTAGTTCAACAACCACCTGGATTCAAGTAAACTCCCAGTAACCGATAGAGCTTGGAAATCTGTCGCGGGAAGGACATCGATGATGCCACCTCGGAAGAGCTTGATCTGGGGGCACACATTTTCTTGAAGAAATGAGTCAACATCTGTTTGCTCTAGGAGAGAGAAGTTTTGATAAAGCATGCTAGATTTCCTTCTGTGGCTGCCATCCCTTCTTTCGTTGAGCCTGGGTGCTTTATCTGTGGATGAATTGATCATCCGAGTGACCTTGACCATCTCTTCAAATACCGGACATCGAAAGATGTTGGCGACGCTCAGTGAGAGGCCAACATCCCTAGCACTGCCAACTAATTGCATCGCAACGATCGAGTCTGCTCCGAGTGTGAAAAACGAATCTGTACTTTTGATCGATGTTTCGGGAATTTGGAGATATTCGCTCCACAGGGTGAGCAGTTTCTGTGCTATCGGACTTGCTGGCGTTGAAGCAGCGATTGAGATTGATCTTTTCTTAGACGCCCTCTCGGTCTGATTGTCAAATGAAAAGTCAGCCATTGATCGAGGAAGGCTTGAGGCAGCTGCTGTTTCCGCGATTTGTCGATTGACAAGGCTTGTGATATCAGGGATGTTGTGGGCGTTGTTGGAGTTGAACATCTGCCCAAGGATTTCTGTCACGCACTCTTTGATAATCATCCGGATTTGCGCTTCTTGTACCGGAGATCTTTGATCCGTGGGTACAGGTTGTTGAGGCTCTTTCAGTAGTATGATATCTGCCACTGATTGTTTTGGATTGCTGACGATGCTGTCTAGCACTTTGGCCAAAGCACCCACCAGAATGTTAGCCTGGTCACTTGAGAGAATATCAGACCAGTATCTCAGTGCAGCACCTTCTTCATTCTGGGCAATGCCAATGTTAAGAGTGATTGCATACTACAACATGTTAGCATCATTCTTATCGAAATGTTAGCAAGCCAACTTACCTCATTCGGATCAACAGCGTTTACAGCTGTAAAAGAAATTGAACTCGATTCAGTAGCGGCTGGTGCGACTACTCCTTGTACTTGTATAGAGACGGCAGTATTGAAAAGACTGTCCCTTCCAAGGCCCAAGTCATGCTGGATTTTCGCAAGAGAAAAATGTTGATGCCCCAAACTCTCCAGATAATCGCTCTGTACACCTTCGATTACCTCTTCGAAAGTACTTGCATTGCTGAATTTCATTCTCGTCACACTCATGTTCAAGACAGGCCCAAACAGCTCCTGGATACCCTCTACAGCTAGGTTGTCACGACCGGACAAAAGATAGCCCCAGCAGACATCATCTGATTTTGTCCAACTTCTCAAGCACACTGCCCAAGCTGCTTGCATAACGTTGGCGAGAGTGACCTTTTTCTCACTACACAACCTCACAAGCTCCGGAAAGCGCCCAAATTTCAAGTTTACGAACTTAAGTTGTCGCTTGGTTGCCGAATTGTTGTTGTTGTTGAGTGATGGAAAATAGCAAGCCCGAGCGTTTTCCAGGTATCTTTTCCAGAACTTTGCACCAACATCGAGGTTTTGGCTTCGAAGATACTTGACATATACGCTATATAGAGGTGCTGGACGATCGGGGAGATTTCCGTTGTAAGCTGCTGCCAAATCGTGAAATAAAACAGGTAAAGACCCGCCATCCATGATTGCATGGTTCATCTCTAGCTTAAAATAAACCTTGCCCATTGAGGTTTGGCAGATGGTGAATTTGTGCGGAAGTGAGACTTGTCCACGCTGTTCGACAGCAGTCGGAGATTCTAGCACTTCAATGGCATCTTTCTCTCCGCACGCAATGAGAACACCTTGTTCACCAGCCTGTTTGATGACTACCTGATTGAAAACATCCTCTTTGTAGACACTGTCGACGAATATTGTGCGCAAGGCCGAGTGGCGAGATACAACTTGGTTCCATGCTCTGGCTAAGCGTTTAGGATCCACGCGTGATGGATTGGAGACTTCGAAAATGGCATGGAATTTGTAAACTGCAGGGTCTCGAAGTTGACTGAGTAACATTCCTTCCTGCATTGGTGCGCAGGGATATATATCTTCGACTGATTGCGGAGTAATACCAGCAGCTGGCAGTATCTCCACAAAAATTGTTTGCAGTCCCTCGTATGAGATAGGAAGAAGCGGAAAGTCACTCAAGGTGAATTGAGGCTCCGATCCCATGACTGCGACGCTATTTACCATATGTTCAAGCGTAGTGCGGCACTCCGCAATCCATTCTCGGATGGCTGATTGCTTTTTCATATGGCGATTGAACAGGAAAGAGAATTGGATCTTGTCCTGGATAACGATGGCGGAGATCTCAAACAGGGCCATCCGCGTAGTCTTCTCGCCGACATCAGACATCAATTTGGAGTTTGATTCTCCAGTTGGACCCCTGTAAGACCTGAACAGAGCGTCCTTCTGCTCAAGTTGTTGTATACGGCCTAGATAGTTGAATACAATTTCCATTGGTCCTTCGTGTTCCTTGAATTCTTCACGGCCTTCGGAGGTCAGGTAACGATAACAGAAATACGGTCTCCCATTTCCGTCAACCTTTCCCCGAGCATCCTTCATCCTCTTGACAGTTTCTACGATATCACTGTTCTCATCAACAGAACAAAATATCGGGGTGATGGTGGTAAACCATCCCACGGTTCTGGACAGGTCAATCGTAGAATCCCATGGCTCGCGTCCATGACTCTCATTGTGAATCACAGGGTTCGATCGATCGAAAAAGACAGCGCTGAAAGACTGAGAGATAGCAGAAAGAAGCAAATCCACCGGTTCCGTTCGAAGCGGTTTATTGCAATCTCCCAGTATAGATCTTGTCACCGTCTCACTCAGCCGAAAAGTTTCGCATTCTGTGTCACCGTATGTGTTGTGACTGATTTGATCGTCTAGCCAGTAGGCGACGTTTGGAGGCGGTATGCGAAATGGCAATTTACCCATGGCCAAATGCTTCTGAGCATGCATTGATTGCATTGTACACCAGCTTTGGAAAGACAAAGGCTTACTCATGGACAAGGATCCAGTGATAAGGATTTCTTCAAGATCCTGCAAGATTATACTATGAGAGGATTGCAGTCAGTATCAAGATGCACAAGAATAGTGTGGGGTACTTGGCCATTATTCTGGACACCCGTTAATAAATTATTGTGCTAGAATTTCTAGAACAATAAAACTAATTGTCCCAAATCATACAAGGCAAATACGCTGATTCCAATTATTCCAAATGGCTCGTACAATTATTTTCATTGTCCGAGGCTTTTGGGGTAAAAGGTTTCAATTATTCAAATGGCTCGCATAATTATTTTCATTATGCGAAGCTTTTGAGATAATGTCATTGATATAGGTGTGTTCAGAGTAATGACCGTGTCTATTATAGAACTAAGATGTGACTTACCGCCATGAGACCATATCTACAGCAAAATGGGAGATGGTCATGAAAATAATCTGGTTGTGTCTTTCAGGAATATTAAAGACGTCAACAGCAAAAAGTGGTCCGTTGATGATGTCGAGACAGCTTTGACTATCATTGACGCGTGCTGGAATTTCGGCTTCGTCGCTTAGATTGGCTTCCAAGAAGCGGTAAGAACTGGAAGGGGTTTCGACAATACGTTGGTGCCAAATGCCGCGAGATTCGGTAAAACGTGACCTGAGCATGGAGTGTTGAACCACGAGCATCTCGACTGCTCCCTTCAATTCGGCCGCCGGGATGCTTCTAGTGATTTCTAATAAGAAACTTTGATTGAAGTGTGTTCCGGAATTTCTGTTCACATTGGGCTGACTTGCGATGTAGGCTTGTTGAATGGGTGATAAATCGAAAGCTTGGTCAAGCTTCTCCTCCTGGTATACTGCTTTTCCAGCTGACACAAGTTTTCCAGCAAGTTCGAACAATGATTTGCTTCGTAGGATGTCAGGAAGAGTACACTGTAAATCATAATTCTTCCGACAAAGCGCCATAACACCCATCGCAGTTATACTATCGCCTCCTGCTCCCATAAAGGAGTCTTCCATTACAACTCGTGGGATGGGAAGATTCAGGACATGCGCAACCGCTTCTTGCAACAATTTATTAGTACCGGTGACAGGTTTTGTTTCGGAATCTCCAGCTCCCGCTCCGAGAGCGATGGCGTATGTTTCTGGTTCGATTTCCTCCACCCAACGCTGTACCAAGGCCCTTTCAAGCTTCGACGAGATGGAGAGTGGAATAGCCTCAAGGACCAACCAAGTCGAGGGAACCATGTAGGGAGGTAAAACAGTTGACAATCCTTCCTCAGCCAGTTTTGTTGTTTCCCGTGCAATCCTTGCCCTCTCTCCACCTTGCACAAGCTGGCAAGTCTGAGTAAGAATCGAAGAGTCGATCAATTCATTGAGGGAAACCACAGCAACCAGTCTTTTGCGTAATATTCCCGTTTTTGGGACAACCACAAGCCCGTGACGTATATGGGCATCTTTATCAAGCGTGTGTTCGATTTCACCAAGCTCAATTCGTTGTCCTCGAATCTTCACTTGATGGTCTTTTCGTCCAATGAAAATAATGGAGCCGTCAGGAGCGTACTTGACGAGATCCCCAGTCTTATAGATGATCACACGTCCTAACCCTAACCCGGGCCAAATCGCTGTGACAAAAGCCTCAGAAGTCTTCTGAGCATTGTTCAGGTAACCTCGTGAAAGAATAGATCCTTCGATACACAATTCTCCAATAGAAGACAGGGGAGCAAGACGATTATGATCATGAGGGTCTGTGATCCACGATCGGGCGGCTGGGAATGTGTTCCCAATGTTAACAGGATCTCGAAGATCCACGTTGACTGTAGCAAGAATGCAACTTTCGGTTGGTCCGTACACATTCATGAGTGTGACCTTGTGGCCCCATTTGAGGACAGTTTCTGTCGTCATGGCTTCTCCGCCACATACAAGAGTCTTCAGAGTCGGGACACGTTCCGGGTCAATGACATTCGCCAATGAAGGGGTCATGAACAGCCACGTGGCTTTAAAATGATTGATGGAATCAATCATAAAGTTCAATCGTTGTTCTTCGGAGGGTATACACAGAGTGGCTGTGGAAAAGGAGTCAGTATTGTTACTTCCAAAAGAACCTGTTGAAGAATCAACTGAGAGAATACATACCCCCAAACGTAAGAGCACCAAAGATCTCCATGATGGACGCGTCGAAAGCAAGACTTGCAAAATGAAAGATTCTAGTGTCAGGACCAATCATTATTTTCTCTCGCCACGACCAAATAGAGGTCGAAGCTGCCTTGTGATCAAGAACCACACCTTTTGGCTTCCCTGTGGACCCTGAAGTAAATATGACATAACACGGGCTATCGCTCGAAGCGAGAGAAGTTGATTTGTCGGGTAATTTGTTGATACTCTTAATGGTTTGCTCATCAATGATAGCAGTTTTGATGCCATCAAACTGATCGCCATAATCTGCAGAACACAATATCAATTGGGCTTCGATCTCCTTAATAATTCCTTCTTGGCGTGACAACGGAGACTTGGGATCCAATGGCACGTAGGTTGCACCTGCCATTAGAATACCTAGGATGGAAACAATGACCCATTTTGATCTATCCATACATATGGGAACGAAAGACTCTTGGCGGACTCCCAAGCTCACGAGATATTGTGCTAATTGACTCGCATGGTCCCGAAGTTCACTATATGTCATATCACCGTCCCATGAAGACACGGCAATGGCATGTGGCTGAGAAATTGCATGTTGTTCGAACGCACGATGAAGACAGTGATCAGTGACCTCAAGCTGATTTATGTTCCAGCTCTTGACTAGTTCCATGTCATGGCTACTGAATGTTTGGATATCTCCAACGGTAGATTCCAAGCCTACCGATGGTGAGATGAGTTGCTGAAGGATGCCATCCAATTGAAGTATCATTCTTTCCACAGCCCAGCTTGACAGGATGTCTTTGTCGTATATAGCAGTGATATTGATTTCACTGCTTCCTACATGACACTCAAGCATAAGTGCGTAAGTAGAAAAGTTGGATTGTAAAAATCCATCACTATATGGTCTCCAAAGCCCTGGTTCTGATATCTTGTCCGTTGGTTGAATGACCAAAAGATTATTGAAGTTGCAGGCAATAGCCGTATCCGTATCGAGGGTTTTTATTCGTTGTAAGCCAGCGTGTTGATATGGGATGACATCAGTTGCTCTTTTCTGGACATTTTGGAGGAAAGTTGCGAGATTAGCCTGCTTGTCGATTTTGATCCTTGTGGGAACAATTACAATAGTCGGAGCAATAACCTCTTCAATCCCATCCATTGGACTATCACGGCCAGCTAGGACCTCTCCAAAAACTACGTCCTCCGACCCCGAGTGAGCTGACACAAGCAGGGACCAAGCGGCACGAATAATAGATGACATCGTCGTATCATGATTAATTGCTTTGACGGGCATTTTAGTTGAATGAGAGAAGGCCTCAATTTGTCGGACACGATCAGAATCTACCAGCTGGTGCGGAAATTGTAAGGGAGATGCTCCCGCAAGGGTAGATTTCCAGAAGTTATCAGATGCTTCCTGGTCGATTTCAGACAAGTATCTGATGAATGAAGAGTAAGGGGTAGTAGGTAAGATCGCCAGGCTGTCAAGGTATGCTGATTCTATCAATCCGAAGACCATTGGGAGACTCCAGCCATCGTACAAACTGTGATGTAAAGACATAACGAAATATTGGACAGTGGCATTCTCCGGCTTGACTATTGTGTAACTTGAGAGAGGTGCACCATTAAATGCTGGGATACTCATGTTGTGGTCTCTGGCATCCGAAATGCTGGCTGCAGTCTGCCACACCATGTCATTTGTTCTGAGCACAACTTGCATGAACTTTGAAGACTTCATATGGACAACGCGGGTGCGCAGAATATCCACTGCCTCGATAACCTTCTGGCAAGCGATTTTGAACTTTTGTATATCAACATCGACCGACAATTCGAAGGTGTGATGCGCAATGTAAGCGCCAGAATCTTTCATGGCAAGAGTTATAAGAGCTTCTTGGAGAGGACTGCAAGGGTAGACATCAACCACGAGAGACTTGTTAACGCGGCATTCGTTGGCCACTTCATCAAGCAATTCATTTTTTGGGGTGTTACCGAGTAACGTGAATGGCTCAGGCGCGGCCCTGGTGTGTTCCTGCAAGCTCCCAGATACAGAAGCACAATGTGCGGCTAATTTTGCGAGTGTTGGCATACGGAATATATCTGCCACAGTGACCCTGACCCCAACACCTTCCTCGCGAGCAGCTACTGCGAGCTTCATAGCTGCAATTGAATCGCCTCCAAGCCGGAAAAAGCTTGAAGCAGCACCGATGGACGTAACTGATACACCAGGAAGCACGCTCGCCCATAGCGATTGCAACTTCTTTTCCATTGCTGTACTTGGGGCTCGGGAGTTATGTCCGCTTGCAAGTCGATAAGCTACCAGTAACTCACTGGGCATACTTGATACAATATTTCGAAGCTTGCTCCTATCTAGTTTCCGTGAAGAGCGAGTGAGAGGGAGGTGGCTAAGCGGGAGGAACACAGATGGGATCATGTATGCCGGTAATTTGCTTGCGATCGAAGAATCTAGAGTCCTACAAAGTGATAGAATATCATCGGACATCTCCAATAGAATATCTGTTGATGCCATCTGAGGGAGGATCGTATTCGTGGGGCAGAAGAAGAGTGCAATGGCACTAGTCCCGCCCTCGGGTGAGACCAAGTCAACAACAAGATCCATATAAGCGAACGGTCCGAGTTGTTTAACATGGTACTCTATCTCAGATATCTCGACTCTTTGGCCATTAATTTTGACTTGAGAATCTTTGCGGGATATGAATATCAATGAGCCGTCGGAGTTATATCGAACAAGATCTCCGCTCTTGTAGCACTGTTCTCGAGGTGCCTCAAGCCAAGGTGGACAATCAATGAAAGCTTGTTTTGTTGCGACCGGATTGTTGAGATAACCTCTCCCGCAACCTCTGGTTTCAATAACAAGCTCTCCAATGGCTCCTATAGGGGTAAGTATATGGTGATTATCGGGATCCACTACCCAGGTTCTGCCAGTGACAGCCTTTCCAATATTCATAGGACTAGTCTCAATTTCTTCGCCGTCATCTCCTAGGAGCAAGCGGGCTGTTGCACAGATTGTCGTTTCACTTGGTCCATATCCATTTATCACAGCCAATTTCCCCTTCCATTTCAACAAATCAGCAGGTCCAACAGCTTCTCCTCCCAAAACCAAGGTTCGAAGACTAGGCATTGAATCTGGGATGAAAGTGCTTGCCAGAGACGGAGTTGAGAACATCCAATTAACTGACATTCGCTCCATTGCTCCTGCGATGTCGTTCATACGTTCGTTGTCGGATGGAATGCAAATGAGTCCTCCCACAATTAAAGTGGTAAGAATCTCCTGGATACCTGCATCGAAAGTAAGGCTTGCAAAATGGAAGACTCTTGTATTCTGGTTCATACGCTGGGCCTTCGCATGATTAACAGCACTAGTGCAAAATGCTCCATGCTCGATAATTGTGCCTTTGGGAACACCTGATGTCCCTGATGTGAAGAAGACCAGTGCAGCATGATCGGGTGAAACAATTGGCAGCTTGAAAACAACCGTACCGTGATAGTTGGTCACAGTAGTAGCATCTACCGGTAGTACTCTTTCGACGATTCCAGCGAACTTGTTTTGGTATTGTGGAGAACACAGTACAAGCTTAGCAGAAACGCCATTGATGATATGTTGCAGTCGAGTTTTCGGATGAGACGCATCGAGTGGAACAAACGCCCCGCCGGCCATCAGTATAGCCATTATCCCAACCACACTCCATACCCCTTTCTCAAAGGATATTGGAACGTAGATTTCTGGCCCGACTCCAGCCTCAACTAGATCAAAAGCAAGACTTGTCGCCAATGCACTCAACTCAGCATAGGTAAGCGAGCAATCATAAGCGCAGACCGCTTGTGCCGCAGGTCGTAAATTTTGCTGCTGCAGAATCATCTCGTGGATCGGTCGCTCAATTCGCTCAGGCAATGTGCTGTTCCAGGTCAATATCTGTTGGCGATCCTGGCTACTCAGTATATCAAGGTCTTTAATAAGGCCTGTGTTAGTTAAAGACACTATCTGATTTAAAATGTGCTCAAATGTCTTTGCTATGTTTTGTGCCATATCTTTCGATAAAGTGTCTGTCCAGTAATGAAAGCCAACCCCAAGTGTAGAATCAGTGGCTGTGGCATTCACTGCCAAGTATTCCGATGGGTCATTAGCCTCGATAATGTCAAATTCCAAGGCCTGATCATCTTTTTTACCATCAGAACTAGCTTGCTTCTGAAAAGTGAACGCAGTATTAAACAACGAAATTCCAGAAAGCGACAACTCATGCTGGATCTCGGCAAGTGAGCAATTTTGGAACTCCATTGCGTCCCCAAAATCCTTTTGTATCTTTTCAAGTGCCTGAGATACAGTATTTGTAGCTGAAAAGTTGATACGACAGATAAGTGTGTTGATAAAGGCCCCTACCGCATTCTCAAGACCGGGAATAGGGGCATCTCGACCGGAGGTCAAATAGCCGAAAACAACTTCATCAGAGCCAGTGTATACTCGAAGCAACATTCCCCAAGCAAGCTGTAAGACGTTCGACAAAGTAAGACCCTGTTTAGCGCAGAAAGTCTGTAGTGGTGATATTTCTATGTATAGGTATTCGCACTCGTGACGATTCTGTCCGCTGAAACCATCATTCAGTGCGGACAGATGGCAAGGTTGAATACCTTCCAGGTATGATTTCCAGTATTTGAGGCCATTATCCGAAGTATTTGAAATATGAGCAATATAATCGCTGTACAGGGGTGCCGGCTGCAAACTGGTTTGAATACCATTTGAAACCTTGCTTTGATATATTTCGGAAAGATCTCTGAACAGAATTGAAAAGGAGCTCCCATCGGAAATTGCGTGGCTTATCTCGAGCTTGCACACTATTCTGCTGGTACTTGTGCTGCAAATAGTCAATCTGTGAGGCGGTTCAAGTTCCGCGTATTCATGAGGCGCTTGTTTCGCGAGGATGGTCACTTCATCATTCGTGGAGACAAGATGAACGACACTGGAACGATGCGATCGAAGCACAACTTGGCCTATTTCGCCATCCTGACACACTCCATCGACAAACACTACCCTCAATGACTGATGTCTTCCAACGACGTCTTGCCAAGACTCTGCAAAGACAGCTGGATCAACGACCCCCACACCTCTAACAGAGAGGACTTCGAAGACGAACTCGCAGTTGTAGAGGACGGGATTCTTTTGCTGTGAAATCAATATTCCTTGTTGCATTGGTGACAAGGGGTATGCGTCTTCGATAGACTCCAATGACTCGAGTTTCAATCGCGGGAGTATCTTGGACAATCTCTCAATGCCACCAAATGACAGTGGAAGAAGGGGGAATTCGCTTAACGTCTTTTGGGGCTCCAGATTCAAGAGAGATATAGCAGCCTCCTCAAGCGATGAGCGACACTTCGCAACCAAATTGCGCAAGAGGTTTTGGTGTTTCATCTGCTTGTTGTATCCCACACTTACTTGAAGCTTACCAAACGACACACCAACGGAAACGTCGAGAAGTGAAAATCGGGCTGTTTGTAGCCCAATATCAGACTCAGTGCTGTTGACTTCATGGAAAGGCTGAAGTATTGTATCCTTTCTTTCAAGTTGCTGTAACTTTCCAAGATAATTGAATGCGACCTCCATTGAAGGGTGTTCCTGCTCGGTGGTTGCAGAGACCTGGCGAGCAAAGTGCTCTCTTCCCTTGTCTGCAAATCGTCCGCGAAGCTCCTTAACCCATCTGATTACTTCAACCAATGAAACTTCGCCGTTGACGGTTGTAGGCATAAATAGGGGCGTAATAGTAGTAAACCACCCAACTGTTCTGGATATATCGATACCAGAACCTGCCCAAGGCTCTCGACCATGGCCTTCATTGTACACCGTTGGTGTCTCTGATCGATCAGTCAGAACGGAACGTAGAGAGTATAACACCACAGCAAGGAAAACATCAACAGGCTCTGTATGCATAGAGCCATGGCAACCTTCGAGGAGTAGTGTCGACATTCTTTCGTCGAGTTCGAACGATTTCGTAATAACATCTGCATACGTATTCGATTTATTTTCCATTCCCCAGTAAGCAAAATCGGCTACAGGGACATTGGCAGGAGTAAAGGCGGACTTTATTAGAGGCTGTGAGGTGTGTTCTGCTTGCAGGCGGCACCATGTTTGAAATGAAAGTGCACTCATCACCTGAAACTGGTTTGAGATGAGCATGTCTTCAAGGTCCTGGATGATAACTCGCCACGACACCACGTCGATGCACAGATGATGAGCAAGAAGTGAAAGGACCTGTTTGTCCCCAAGGTCGAATAGATTCACAGAGAACGTTGGTCCGTTTTGGACATCCAGTTCTTCCTGGCTCTGCTGAACCAACTTTGCAACAGACTCGGCTTTGGTTTCCTTGCAATTGAAGCGATAAGTATTGGACGCATGAGAGATGATCTTCTGGCGCCAAGTGTCGTTCTGAAGGATGAATCGTGCTCTAAGAATTGGATGTGTTTTCACAATCGTATCAATAGCACGTCTGACCACATCGACTTCAATCCTTTTCGAAAGACTGAAGATAGTGCTTTGATTGAAGTGGGTTTTTTCGTTACCAACAGACTTGAAATAGAGCTTTTGCATAGGAGAGAGTTCAAATTCTATATTCTCTTCCTCCTGGGCACATGAACGTGTCTGTGGTAAAGTGTCGACACGAGTTGCAAGGTCCTTTATCGATTTACTTTGCAGTATATCCTTGACAGATATGCCTATATCTTTTGCTTGGCATCGCGAATGTACTTGCATAGCAGTTATGCTGTCTCCACCGAGGTGTAGAAAGGATTTGTGAAGCCCAATTTTCTCCGGTGGTAAATTGAGGGTTTCCCCCAAGATTTTCCGCAAAGACAACTCTAGTTCTGAGCCATTCATCTCTTCCTCTTGTGCTTCTACTGCAGAAATGAGACGATAAACCTCGGTGCTCATCGATTCAACCCACTGGAGAGATTGTCGTCGATCAAGTTTGCCCGATGAAAGAAATGGAATACAGCTTGTGACAATCCAGCTTGTAGGCACCATATAGGGAGGCAAATTCGAACACATATGTTCTCGGATGGCAAACAGTTCGGCTGAGCACTCATTGGGGTCGACAATATTGAAAGATCCACTTCTCAGCTGTGGGACTGTAGCCTCCCACTCCAACAAAATCATTGCCACTAGACGAGAGCTGAGCGGTCCATTTGAAGGAACCATTGCGAGGGCATACTTGATACCGGATTGAAGGTTCAAGAAATGTTCGACCTCGCCAAGCTCAAGGCGTTGGCCATGGACTTTCTTCTGTGTATCTTTGCGTTTGAAGAAGAGTAGGGACCCATCTGAGTCCATTCGAACCAAATCACCCGTCTTATAAAACTTTCTCTTAGCATCTAGAGAATTCGTGGCGTCAGGGATTGACCATAGAGGATTTTCGATGAAAGCAGCTGCTGTTTTACTTTCATCGTTTAGATATCCTCGTGCTAGCGGACCTTCGATAAGAAGCTCGCCCACAGAGGCAAGGGGAGCTAACCGATTCTGGTTATTTGCGTCAGCAACCCATAACCGAGAACCAGTTGCGAATCCGATATTCGTGGGGTTGGAATTGACAGTCATGTTGTTTCTGCAGGAGGTAGCTATTGCTGCTTCCGATGGGCCATAAGCCGAGATGAGATTGACGTGATTTGACCATCGTTCGATATCGCCTGGAGACATACTCTCGCCACCTAGAGCAAGGGTTCGGAGACTAGGGACAGCCAGTGGAGAGATAGTTTTACTCATTGTCGGTGTCATGGCTGTCCACGTAATGCTATACGATTCAATGAATTTCTCAATACTGTTCATTCGATCATGCTCTGAGGGAACCTGAAATATCGAATTAGTAACCTTCCGAGTGGCCCCCAGTTATAGAAGGACTTTTCATGCGAAAAAGACGCAACTTACACAGATTGTGGCTCCAATGGTCAAAGATGTCAGTATCTCCAATAGAGATACATCAAAGGTGTAATTAGCGAATTGCAACACCCTAGACGTGGATTCTAAGCATAACGCAGGGCCATGAGCTGCAGCGCTCGTACAAAACGCTTCATGATCGATAATTGTTCCCCTTTGATAGTAATTAGCCCATAAATCCACCATTCAGGTCTAGATAGATCATTATGGGAGTGCATCTTAAGAATTCAATGATTCCAATCACGCCAGACTACTGGATTAATTGATTTCACCACCCAGTCTACATTTGCCACTCTTCATGTCCATTCAGAACTTACTTTGGCTTACCAGTACTTCCACTGGTGAAAATGCAATATGCGGGGCTGCTGGGTGAAACCTTTGGCAAACCGATATTGGATGGTCCTAGGCTTTCGATTGTCCCTTGGTCGGTGATTATTATATTGTCAACAAGACCTTTACATAAATCTATTTGGCTCTCAGAGCAAAGAACAAGATCGGACTTTGTATCGTTAAGAATATCGCGAAGTCGGGCTATGGGGGCAGTGTGATCCAGCGGAACAAATGCCTTGCCTGATTTCATAACTGTGGACGAGCTTAAAGTTAGCATTCCTAATTTCAACGAGGACTCGGAGTCGTTAAACGAGACGTCGTTAAGCGCGACGTCGTTAAGCGAGACGGCGTTAAGCGAGACAGGAGAGAGGGCACAATGCCTTAATAGTAACCAGTGTCGTATCTCTCAAAGACTCGAAGATGGAAATTTCAATTTGGAGGGTACTTACTTGCGAGCATAGCTATAATGGCGAATGCTGACTTCTCGAAACATACAGGAATAATCTCGCATTGTGGATTGAGTTCCACGATATACTGCGCAAGACGTGTAGAGACCCGTTCGAGTTCTTGGTATGTAAAAGTCCCATCGTGAGAGAGAATAGCTGCTTTGTCCACTGGTTGAAGGCCGACCTGTAACTCAAAAATATCATGTACGCAGTTGTGGCTCCATTCGAGTGGTTTGCTATTCCAGCCATGGATAGTCGCTCGGTCCTGCAGATTCATAAGTGAAATCTGTCCAATCTCTTCCTCCATCATGACATTTGAGTTCAGTCGTTGAAGGAGAAACTCAAATTCGCCCACAACTCGATCGACTAACCAATCACTAATCACCTTCTGGTCATAGTGAACCTCGATTTCGACGGTGTCTCCGACTATCTGACAAATTATGGTCAGAGGATAGGAGGAAAAAGTATCATGTGCCGTTCCACTGCTCTCCAAGGTACAGAGATCTGACGACTCATTGGTTGTTGTGGAGATGACGAGCAAATTCTGGAAATCGCATGCAATAGCAGTATCCCGATTGAGACGTTTAATACTCTGCAGACCAGCATGCTGGAATGGAAGTACTGCCGAAGATTTAACTTGGACCTCCGCCAAGAATTGTTCAACAGAGTTTCTGGGATCAATTTTTACTCGCATGGGGACAGTCACAAGTGTTGGACCTGAAAGATAGTTAGCGGTGTATGTTGCTATAGTGTGAAGCGAATTAGATGGATTGCTTGAGTTTACCAGCCATTTGATCGGTCATGTGATCCAAACGTCCTGTCAGATTCTCGCCAAAGATAACATCTTCTGGGGTTCCGGAGTAAACTGACATGGTCACGGCCCATGCTGCTCGAATTGTGGAGGGAATGGTGATGCTAGAGTCAGTAACTCGGGGCATTGACACGACAAGCTTAGTTATCCTACTGGTAGCTTGAACGTTATATGTAGGGCTTGGTAACGCAGGGAAAGCTGTCGCCGCTATCTCTGATAGATTTCGTTCCCAGAATTTGTTAGATTCAGTGACATCTACATTTAAAAGGTAATTAATAAATCTCGAGTAGGGGATACTGGTAGTGACAACTGCGTCGATATTGTGATAACAGGTTTTGAGCTTTCCAAACAAGAGCGGGAGAGACCATCCATCGTAGAGAGCATGGTGGGCCGTGAACACAAAGCGAGGCTCGCTTGTATTTTCGCCAATAAGCGAGAATTGGCAAAGGGCTCCACCGTCACGTGATGGTAAATGTCTTGTATTTTCCGTGAGATCCGTGATGGAAGAGAGACTATTCCACGTGATAGTGTCGTAAAGTACTACTTGGAGAAAGCCGAGTTCTTTAGTATGCACCAGCCTTGTTCTCAGAATGGGTTCGTCGAATACCCGCTTCCATGCCTCCTTGAAAATCCCGATATTAATGGTTTTAGGGAGCCTATATACGTTTTGGGCGACATATGCCCCAGGTATCTTGGCAGTCAATGACATGAGGCCTTCTTGCAATGGAGAAGCAGGATATATATCTTCGACGCGCTCCAAAGGTACGGCGCATATACTGGCGACTTCTGTGAGTACAGCAGTAAGACCCTTTGCAGGGGGCACTAGAGCGAATCGCTCCACGTCCTCCGCGAGTTGATGGGCATTGTCATCAATGTCAAGAGCAGACAAATCATTCGCAAAATCCGCCAAAATGGGTTTTTGGAATATGTTCGCAACCGAGATAATCATCCCCTCTTTGCGAGCAGCTACCACAAGCTTCATGCAAGTTAAGCTGTCGCCGCCACTAGAGAAAAAGTTATCATCTGCCCTAATTGATCCAGGTGGCAGATTTAGCACCTTTTCCCAAAGCACCTGAAGTTTCAGCTCCATCGTGGTTGATGGAGCTCGGCTGCTCTTTTTCGCAAGCCTGTATTCAGATACACGCGTTTCCAATAGGGATTCGCACCAGATCCTGAGCTGCCGCCTGTTCAATTTTCCAGAGGGTGTCAGTGGCATGGACTTGATAGGTATGAACACAGACGGCACCATATATGGCGGAAGTAACTTGGACAAGGAAGCTTCCAAAGATACGACAATCTCCCGAAGCGACTCTGACAAAGGAAGGAGCTCCTCTTCTTTCAAGGCAGCAGGCGAGGGAGTGGCGCTACATAGGAAGACGGCAAGTGCTTTGATGCCTCCTGTTTTGATCATCTCGACTGATGAAGTCATATCTGAGGGGAGGTTTCTCTTCACATGGTATTCAACTTCTCCTAGCTCCAATCTCTGGCCGTTGAGTTTCACTTGAGTATCTTGGCGGCCTACGTAAGTGAGTGTTTTGTCCGAGTTGAAGCGGCCAAGGTCGCCGGTCTTGTAAAATCGGCGATTCTCTTCAGCCCATGATGGGGCAACAATGAATGAATTCGCAGTCTTGACCGGATCGTTCAAATATTCACGTGCCAATATTGGGCCCTCGATCAAGATTTCGCCAATACACCCGATAGGGCTGAGGGCATTGTGGTTGTTTGGATCCACGATCCAATTGGAGAAAGTGGGCCGTCCGACGTTTGTTGGCTCGTTGGTTCTCGTGAGATCGCCATTATAAGTACTGTGCACCGAGCATTCCGACGGGCCATAAAGAGAGCTAGCCAGCTTTCCCCATACTTCGATATTTTCCTCGGTTGTGGCCTCTCCAGCCAAACAAAGTGCTTTGACAGTTGGAACTTCTTCTGGTCGTAGAAGTCCTGCAACAGTTGGTGTGAGATTAAGATGGTTTACGCTCAACCTGTTAATGGCACCAGCCAGGTCGTTGTACCTCTCGTGCTCTGAAGGGACACAGACACAACCACCTCTCGTAAGTGTCGTAAATATTTCTGCAAGAGATACGTCGAAGGTGTATTGTGAGAATTGAAGTACTTCTCAAAGTCAGCATTGCCATATCATTTGGAGTAATGTTGAGAGGATAAGAAGCTATTTTTAGGAGGAGAGATTAAAACATCGGTGCAGTTCAAAAAGCCGGATTAATCGGACTTAATTACTCTATAATACTGGGACAATGTTTCCAATTTATCCAGACAGCCAGGTTGATCGGGATCAATTACTCTATCATGCTGGGCTAATTAAACTCAATACTCTAGACTACTAGGCAAAGTAGACTTAATTGCTCCAGAATGCTAGGTTAATGAGACTCGAATACTCTATCCTGAGCCAGCGTTTATCATATAACGAGGGAGAATGAATATAGATTTTACTCACCTCTCGATTCGGTGTTAATCCCTTGGAGAGAGCCAAAAACGTTACTTGAAGACATAAACGCTCTGTGCTCAAGAACCACACCTTTTGGCTTTCCTGTAGAGCCAGAGGTATAGATTACGAAAAATGGGTCCGTTGGTTTCGCTTTGGATCGAATCGAAATATTCTGGGGTTGCAATAATGATAATAACTGGTCGAGTGAGGACTGGCTTACTTGGACGACATGCGGTACGGTTTCCTCGAACGTTTTAGCAAGCGATGGGGAAGTGAGAATGACTTGCGCGTTCACATCTCGAATTCGATGTTCAAGGGCCGATTTTGGGAACTTCGGGTCGAGGGTGACAGCTGCCGCTCCGCTTTTTAAGGTAGCCATTAAAGCTACCACCGCCCAAGAACTCTTTTCAAAGCATGATACAACAAACTTGCCTGGTCCAGCATCGAGAGAAACAAGTTGAGCGGCCAAAAGGCTGGATGCTTCATCCAGTTCGCCGTAAGTGAAGCCTCTGTCCCAAGCGCAAACGGCGGGAGCTTCTGGTCGCTGTCTCGCTTGCTGTTCCATGACTTCGTGCACACATTCGTTGATGGTCTCGTGTGTTGAATCATTCCAGTCCATGAGTTGCTTGTGATGATGCTCGCTTAAAAAGTTGAACGAAGAAAGGGGTATTTCGGCCTGCTGTGGAATGGTACGCAGTATATGGAGGAACGTGCTCCCGATGTTAGAAGCCTGGCCATCCGAGATCTTGTCCGTCCAGTGGGCAAGATCTACCTCCAACAGGTTTTCTTTTGCCTCGACGTTGAGATTGATGGTAAATTCTGTGGGATCGTAAATTGGACATGCCAGAGGAAAACTCACCTCGGAATTCATTTCATTGTCGGTATGCTGCGATCTTTGGTAAGATAGCGATGTGTCAAACAGTGACTTTCCCGACAGATGTAATGCATGCTGGACATCAGCCAGTGATGTGTTATGGAACGGTAATCCTTCCATATAGTCGGCTTGCAACTAAGGTAGTTTATGTCAGCATACTTTCCGTACAAACCCTTGAGTCTTGAACAAGGGATCTGAACACCCCGGAAATTTGCACTAGAACATCTGAAGGATCACTTTGATTCCCCCAATCCCTTGGTCTAATTGAAAGTTGCAAATATCAATTATCCCAATGAGCTGGAACAAGGACTGCATTTTGAAGAACTTTTGGTACAGTATTCTCGTACACTTGTACACTCGAAAATGAACCACAGAGAGTCTTACCTTGTAGAGAATTTCGTAAATTTTCATGTCGGATGAGAATTTTGACCGATGAACTAGCATATTGATGAAGATACCAATTGCATCAACAAATTCTGGGGTTCTATCTGACGACAAGAATCCAAATGAAACGTCATCGGATCCAGTCATAAGACGTAGCGTTAGTGCCCAAGCAGTATTCAGCAGAGTAGAGAAAGTGAGCCCTTTCATTCCGCAGAATTTCTGTAGATCCAAAAATTGGTCGTACTCGATTCTATACTGAACAGAATGTAGCTGCTTTGTGACAGCAGGTAAGCCATCATTAAGATGTGGAAATTCGCAAGGAATTGCGCCCTCCAAATAGCGGCTCCAGAATTGAAGCCCGGGGGCATTTGATAAGCCTTGGAGGTAACTAATATAGTCACTATGTGGTGTCTCCTGGCCTTCGGGTAAAGTTCCTTCGTAAGCGAGAGCCAGGTCTCTAAGAATTAGCTGAATGCTTTTACCATCAATTATGGTATGGCTGATATTAATCTTGAAGAAGACTTCCCCCTCCGATGTTTGGCATATTGTAAACCTATGGGGAGGTGCATTGTGGCGAAAGTTTCCGCCGACTGGTTCGTGAAGCATAGCAAGTGCAGCATTTTGGTCGTCGCATTGGATATGAACGATATCTGCGATATGGTGTTTGAGAACGATTTGGTTATAAACCCCATCACTGGTACCGACAGCTTCGATCAATATACATCGAAGCGAAGAATGCCTATCAACAACATTCTGCCATGCCAATGCCAGCTTGGCCGGGTCTGCATTGTTTCCTGTATGCGGTTGCAATTTGCATATCACCTGGTCCTGGTAGAATCCTGAATCTTTTGTCTGAGCCAATAAGAGACCCGTTTGCATGCTTGAGGCAGGGAACAATCCATCAACTTCATTCATGTTGGATATTCCGAGCCGTGGTAGGACTTCTTCGTTCAGCTTACTCAGATCTTCGTATGTAAGTGAGAGTAATGGAAAGTCTGTGGGTGTAGCTTGTGCCTGCATTTGCATCAAGCTATTTGCAATAACGCCTACAGCTCGACTGCACTCGGTTATCCAACGCCCAATTCTCTCTTGATGGTGGATTGCTCGGCTAAAAGTAAATGAGAACCGAAGTTTCCCTTGAACGATGACGGCCGATATCTCAAAGAGACCAAATCGGGGTGTGTTTATTCCAACGTCTGCGACCCCACTTTCGCCTGCACCGCGAGCTTCTCCGGCCAACTCGTCGATAGATTTCAGTAGAGCGTCATGGCGTTCAAGTTGCTGGTATTGACCCAAATAGTTGAACGTCACTTCTGAAGGCCAGTGATGACCAAACTCCTCCTTGCCAGCAGTACTCAAGCATCTGGCTGCGAAATAAGGTCGGCCATTATCAGGCACACGACGCCGGTAATCCTTCACTTGTCGTACAATTTCGATTGGCTCAGACGATGCGGAAACTTTTACAGGATACATGGTCGTAAACCACCCGACTGTACGTGACAGGTTGACGTCCAAGCCTGCAGGTTCACGACCATGACCCTCTGTAAAAATTGGCGGAACTGGGCGATCATCAAAACATTGGCCAAAGGAATAAATGAGTGCGGAAATCAGAATATCAATTGGTTCTGTGTTGAGTGTTGAGTGGCATTCTGTCAACATCGTCGAGGTAGTTTCAGCGTCAATCTCAAATCCTTCGCAAATAACATTCCCGTATGTGTCGAGTTGATCTTCCATTCCCCAGAATGCAGCATCGCCTGCAGGCATTTGAGATGGTAGAACCTTGTCCAGATCCCAAGTTGACGCTTGTTCAGCTTGTAGTTGAGCCCATGTTTGGAAAGCAAGAGGTTTGTCGCCCAAAGATACTTGGCATGGGTGGAGAAGTAATTCTTGTATTTCCTCGAGGATGATTCTCCAACTAACGAGATCAATAATCTGAGGAGAAACTCGGAGTCAGCCTTGACCTTTTGAGGATGCTAGGAGTTTCGAGTCGGGATCAAAAGGAATCAAGACATCTTGAGAGATTTGAGAGAAAGCAATTTTTTGAGCCCCGGCAAACGCCCAGAAAGCGGAAAGGATAAACTACATCATAACTTACCAGGTGGTGACAAACCAAGAAAACTAGCTGCTCCCCACTATCAAGATCAAAGAGGTCTGCGCTAAATAGTGGTCCAACGAAAGGATCAAGGCACTTTTGGCTATCGGCAATAAAGGGAGTGGTTTCATCTTGTGTTGCAATCCGGTGGCATCTCATCCGATAAGAGCCAGAAACATTTGCTGTGACTCGTTGTTGAATAGATTCACCCGATGTGGGCACTGAAAATCGAGATCTGAGCATAGAGTGTCGCTCAACAATCATTTCAATTGCGGAGCGGAGGTTTTTTTCCTGTAGAGGTTAGCTCCACTGCTCTCGGTAAACTAAAGGGAGAAAAGTCTGCTGACTTGGGTACACTTACACCAATGACCGATGTTACGCGCAGCAAAAAGCTTTGATTGAAATGCCCAGCTCCATAATTTGGCCTCTTGAAAAACATCGTCTGGATTGGTGATAGATCAAAGGGTGTCTCAATCGTCTCTTCCTCGTAAGTCACGTGGCCATCAACCTTGGCTCGCCTCGCGAGCTCCTTGATTGATTTTGCACGCAGAAGATCCTGAACTGTCAAACTGACATTTCTCTTTGCACAGTATCCCATAACGCCCATGGCGCTGATGGAATCTCCTCCCAAGCTGAGGAACGAGCGGCTCAGGCTTACTTGGTTCTCTTCGAGATTCAGCACTCGACTCCATGAGGCTCGCAATATTGCTTCCATCTCAGTTGCGGGTCTTTCATCGGTAACTACATGACTTTCCAGGTCAATCAACTTGACAATTTGACGATAAGCGTCCTGACTGAGGTTTTCGAACCACTGTACAACCTTTTTCCTATCCAACTTGCCAGAGGGTAGTAGGGGAATCGATTGGACAGTCAACCACACAGAGGGTACCAGGTATGACGGAACGGATTTTGCAAGATGCTTCCTGGCCAAGTCGGATTCGGTCTGAGATTCGGCGACCTCAATGGACCCCGAATGATAATTTCCAAGGTTGGCTTCTTTCAAAGAAATCATAGCTACTAAACGATCCTTGAAATGGCCAACCTTGGGGAAAACAACAAGACCATGTTTGACGCATTCAGTCAGATTGACGTGATGTTCGATTTCGCCTATTTCTACTCTTTGGCCATGTACCTTGATCTGGTTGTCTTTTCGTCCTATAAATTGGAGGGTGCCGTCCTGATTCTGTTTCACAAGATCTCCGGTTTTGTAAAGACGATGCATTTTATTACTGGCAGGCATGACTTGCGAAAGCCATGCGGGGTTTGCAATAAAAGACTCCGCATTCTTTTCTGGGTTATCAAGATAACAACCAAGCGTCGGTCCATGAATTAGGAGCTCCCCGATTTCTCCTACTGGAAGCAGGCAATCGTGGTTGGATGGGTCCGTCACAAAAACAGGAGCCAATGGAGCTCCAATATATGAAGGATGAGTCGCCACAGTGATGTTATTGTTGCATACAGCGACCACGGAAGTTTCCGTAGGTCCATAGGCATTAATTCTGAGATAAGTCAGTGTGAGCCCTTGAAGAAATGATGCTAGATTGGTGTTGCCTTACAAGCGAAGACGCGGAGCCCAGGTTGTGACATGGCTCTTGCTCATTGCTTCTCCGCCAAGAACTAATGTCTTTATAGAGGGCACATCGCGTGGGGAGAAAAAGTTGACGAATGAAGGAGTAAGCAACGCCCAGTTGATCCGCATAGTTTGAATTGCCGAGACTATATTGTTGAGTCTTGTGTATTCATCTGGAATGCATACACACCCTCCAAGCATGAGAGGGGTCAAAATCTCGAGGATACTTGCGTCGCTAGAAGATCATTAGCTCAGCCTACCATTTTTATGTGGGTAAGCTTACAAGGTATGTGCTGCAAAATTCAAGACTCTCGATCCGGAATGCATGAACATCTTTGTTCCATAAACTGTGGCTGAGGTTAAGAAGGCACTGTGGGAAATTAGAGTTCCCTTTGGCTCGCCAGTAGTGCCACTTGTAAATATCAAATAACATTGGCTTTCGCTATTGAAAGTTGGCAAGGTTTGATTGGAATTAACCGAAACCTGAGATATCGACTCATCATCAACCGGCAGTATAGCAGCTGCGATGGCAGCCAATCTTTCCTCGTGTGCTCTTGAGCATAAGATGATTGTCCCCTTAACTTTGCCGAAGAGATTTTCAAGACGAGCCAGAGGTGCTGACGGGTCCAAGGGTACACTAAAACCCTCTACGTTAGTCTCCATTTCAAGCGGTGGTGGATGGGCTTTTTACATTACTGCCCCGCATTTTAGAACACTCAACATAGCGACGATATTATACTTTGATTTATCGAATACCAGAGGCACTAGCATTCCAGGCTTGATTCCATGTTGTTGGATAAGGCTACAAGCGATTCTGGTAGAAAGATTGTCGAGTTCACGATACGAGAGTATGCCATCGTGAGCGCAGATTGCTTCTGCATCCGGTTGTGCAACGACTTGGTCGTGCACTGCATCATGAACACATCTCTTGATTTCCTCCAAAGGTTTGCTCCAGCCTCTTACACTTTCAAGGTCACTTACACTGAACGTGGGAGAAGTCACATCTGAGGAGCCTGCCACGTCCACTTGAGGTTTATCCATGTCGAAATCTAGTGTTTCTGCGTAGTTCGGTGGAAGAAAGTATATCTTCCGAGAGCCTGCTTCGTTAAGGCAATTCGGGGTCGTTATGGTTTTTGAATATCGCCAAGATATCTATGTAATATGAGCATAAGTAATTGGAATACTCTCAAATGGTTTGTTTACTTACTATTGCAATATTCTATGTACAATTTCTCCCAATACTCGCAATTTTGCAGAATCTGAATGTCTTGTGTTCAGAGCTCGAAGTTATAAACAATCAAAATAGCGAATGGGGAAGGGCAAAGACGTTTCGACAAAATATTGAATGTAACACAACAGCAAAAACAAGAATAAACTGGCGAACTTCAAGGGTCATGGTACAGAGGCAATACAAGTCCCATAGCCTTGGCTCTGGTGTTAGGATCGACATAAACATGGGAATTTTTAGTCAGGAGCTGCATAGAGTTGCATAAAGCTGCATTTGCATCGGGTTAATCTTCCTATTTTCCAGGCGGCCCCGAAATACCTGATCACTTCCTAATGGAGTCAATCTCTTAAAGCTTTGGGCATAAAAATACTGGATATTCGTCCCAGAAATTAGGTGAAGATCGTTCCATTCAGCCAATTACGGTATTGATGGCATGCAAACATTCGGGATTATTGACGTACTTTGAGGCGAAGAAAGGCTGGTAACTTCAACTGAATGAACATAGTTGTGTCTTTGTGGCTGGCTGATATGGAAGATCATCTCGGCCAATGTCCAGATAGACGGATGCCTGCTCTGTATGCGGCAGAAAGATCGAAGGATTCAAGAACCAGAACGTTTCGTTAGCAATACAGTACAAATTGACGTAAGATTATATGAGTGAAGATCTTTTCTAAAAAGAATAGTGGGCTTCAACCCCGTATAAGCTGCAGGTCGGGCATATCTAGAATTTGTATAGTTTCAATCTTTGGTATCAACGTCGTTTTCGTGCCGTAATAGCACTTTCCCGTTTTTCGACCCCATCGATGAGGACAGGGTTGAATCTGATCTGAACCGAGGGCCGGGATATATATTCGATTAGCCTGGAGAACAGCCGGAGTAAAAGCGTCAGCAAAGACCACTCATTAATCTCCATTTTTTAATTACTTATGATTTTTCTGTAATGTCTGAAAAGCTCTAGGTTGGTAGCCTGAGTCATCTAGACAGGTGGTACAGTGAGAGAGCTATTACCACCGCTATCAATCTACATCAGGAGAGTGTTCAGAGACGCTGCATGATCTCCAGGGGCGACGAAATAGATTTCTGACGAAGGATCTGTTTCCTTTCTAGGATCCATTACTGTGGGTAGCCCTCGGCGCTTGCTACGAGCGGAGGAGTCGGTTGCGAAAGCAGACTCGAGGCAGGTCTTTGGGCATTGACATGGTTTGTTTTTCAGATGCGAGCATATATGAGAGTTACAGAGTTACTCGGCAGGAGTGTGAGAAGAGTAGCGGTCTCGAGGCGGTGATGTTCTGTGCGATCGATGCGAATAAATCAGCACTAACCTAAAAGGATTGGGCCAACAAAAAGCTTGGACGTTTATATCACATGATTCCACAATGGTGATCCAATCAAAATATCGCCTTCTCCACCGTTGACAACCTTAATTTGATGTCCTCTCGTGCCTGTGCCCCAGGCCACACCCACCAGCACCTATCAAACTCACATAATGAGTCTTCACCACGTGGCTTGCCCCCCTTTTCAAGGATTCCCCATATTTCCTTCTCTGTCTCAGGGGTTGGTTGGCTTGACGCCACGACGTTCTTCCCACCCTCGACCAATACTTGTGCTGCAGAGCTGCGGGCTGCATTCGTCCATATGCCAGGCATTGCCCACTCCCACCTTCCCATTACTTCCGTAGGGTTACCTCTATAGTGTATGCAGCGATCGACATGCATGGCTTACAGCCTGGGCCCGATTCTCGTCGGCATATCAACCACTCAAAAAACAGATCTTTTAGTTGCTGTCTCTCAGCTACAGTACTTGGCAGATGCCGGCTGCCCATCCGGCGTGAAACGGCTCCAAATTCGGTCGTTCCCTGACAACCTGCCCGACTTCTTTGGGCTTTATTTCCAAGGTACACTTTCAATCCGCCAATACTATACGGGTTGGATCTTGGGGATGTTGGAATGACACCTTGCACCATCACCATAGTATCCTTGGGACTGTTGCATTGTAGCAGCAGAAAACGCCGCTTGACGACATGGAAAATGCGGCAATTTGAAGCCACAAATTGCAAACAAGCTTCAGCGAGTACATCAAACGCTGATATTTCAGTCTTCTTTCCAACAGGAATTGGTATTTGCGGATTTCAGCACCAAGTTGACTAGCTGGACTTTCCAACTTCTAGGCCACCTTCTGGTTTCGCAATACTGTGTACTAACCTGTTACACGCATTCGCTTACGCTGAAAAACTCCAGGGCTATGAGAATCATATCTTCAGCGAAGCTCTTGAAGAACCCATAATTGCCCGGCATATACGATGATATTTTTAACTCTCAAGAACTCTTACACAGCAATGATATCTCGACCTTACCCAAAACAACATCATGCTCCGCGTGTGACTTGTCAATTCTCACCCAACCATCACGCCATCACATTTCCCGTGCCTCTTCATTCTTGAAGATCAGAAAAGTAAAGATCTTCGCTTGCCGGTTTGTTGATGGAGCCCTTATTTTCGCTATCGATCTTCCTGTGACGAGGGTGGCAGTGGGAGACGTACTTCTACCAAGATCCATAATTCTCCGATGATGCTACCCTTCGTTTATCCGTACCTAGTCCCTACAGCTATGGGTCAGAGCTCTTCGTCTGGGTCGTCGTCTGGCTCGTCTTTCCAAAGCTGAAGAACCATTGACCCCAGACTCAAAAATTTTCCACATCCATGTTCATGTGCCGTGTTCAAGGGGTCTTACTAGGTGGGTATTTCTTCAATAGGAGCATCAGAACCTCACGTCCTCCGAGATCGCCTCGTAATAACCCAAACCTATTTCAGGTTACGTACGGAAATCATCATCGAGACTGGTTATTACACCATCTTCAACGCCGCTTTTTCTTGCATTTACGAGAAGTTTCTTATTGGTCTAAAACGTCAGCAGAATAAAGCCCCGGTCTATGTAGCTCGCCGCTCAGACCACAATCCATGTTATATATGCGTGTTTTGCTTAAGCGCTTACATCGTTATAAGACGTTGCCAACCCTTTTCGTGTCAAAATCAGGTTCAAACTCAATAACTTAGCTGCCTATTTCTGACCCGGTCTTCACCCACTAGGAACGGTGTATAAGTCATCCTTGTCTTCCCAATCCGCTCCTACTTGGGGGCTGAAAGAATCGGTGATAGAGTCATTTCCTCGGTGTTAGTCCGGCTAGAGACATGTTTTGATTTTCATTAACCGTGTAAAGATCCCTGGCAGTATCAGCAAGGCGGTATGTGATATTCGATCAATTGCCACCTTTTTGCTCTGCGTCTATGATCTGCGTCTGAAATTTCCGTTTTTTCTTGATAGGATCTTGACTGGTGTCATCGTCACCATATAATCTCGAATATCCACTGGAGTTCATGTCCAATCAGGGATTATCCATTTTACAACATTCTATCTCCATGTGCCTTTTCATTTTCAGACAATTGTATTGTGTCTCTTGCATGTTCAGTATTCCATTATCACTATGGCTTCATCGTTGGATTGTACCGCAGTTGACAACGCTTTCGGTCCCTACGCCGGAGAATGTCGCGGTGGACTTGATTTTACAGTTCTCTTTGAAGATACAATTCTAGCCATTCTTCCGCTTGGTCTGGCTCTCATTGCATCTGCGTTCAGATTTATGTATTTGAGTAGAGAAGGAATTAAAGTCATTCCCAACGTATTCTTATATGTCAAGCTCGTGAGTTGGCGCCCTTTATTCCCCTTAGTCTTTCCATTCTATAATTCTATCATGATTCAAAATTGGAACAGAATTATCGGGAAAATTGTAAGAGAAGTGGTCATTGCTCTGTCAAACTTGTGTCAAGTTAACGTTACAGTATTCTAAACACGTTACACATTCAACCCAGTTATGCAAATGGGTTAGAATAATAGTTACTCCTCATTTCTCGTTAAACCAGGTATTCTGGGACAATCAAGTCACTTGTGTCAGACATTTGGCATAATGAAGTTTGATTGTGTGTTCAGAGTACTGGCCACTTCTCTGGAGCTCAGATTTCCAACTCATGTGACATTGAGCATGGCTACCCACAGACATTTTGAATAAATTTGTTAATTTGAAAATGCTATTAGACTTCATGGTTTCTATTTTCTGCCACCCAACTCGCACTTCTTGTTCTTTGGGCTCAACCATTGGCACCAAGGAGCAAGCTCACAACCACCTCCGTCTCGATATCCCTCACCGCTGCTCTCATATTTGCGCCACTTTCATACAAAGAACATCGAAGGTCCATCAAGCCGTCGTTCATACTTAGCATTTACTTACTCTTCACTCTGATCTTTGATGTGGCTCACACAAGGACCGTATGGCTTCTTGAGAGTCGTTACACTCCTGTTGCTGCCGTCACTACTACAGCAACAGCACTCAAGTTCCTGCTTCTGGTTCTTGAAGTCATTGAAAAGAGGAGAATTCTTCGTCCAGATCAGAAAGACAACCCGCCATATGCTACAAGCGGAATCATTAACCGGTCTTTCTTTTGGTGGCTAAATCCCCTTTTTCGGCTCGGGTATTCCAAAACCTTGGCGGTCAAAGATCTTTTTTCTTTGGATCAGCCTCTGACTTCTGTTGGATTGCGCGACTCACTTGAGGATGCTTGGAACTGTGGTATGTAGCTGATATTCTTCTATTAGACTGATCTAACAATTTGACCAAGAATCGGCAACAAAAAGAACACCACATGCTCTCTTTTTCACCTTACTTAAGACGCTCAAATGGCCCTTATTAGCTTCGGTCTTTCCCAGGTTGTGTCTCATCGGTTTCAATTACACACAACCCTTCCTCATCACCGCCGCAATTGATCTTTCTCAAAGTGAAGTAACTCCTCAATCTCAAAATGAGGGCTATGGCCTCATCGGAGCTTACATACTTGTGTATGTCGGAATTGCTGTAAGCCAACTTTCAAACTCGCTAATTGAAATTTGACTACTGACAATGCATAGGTATCAATGGGTTTGTACCAGCATCTCACATATAGAAGTATCACTATGGCACGCGGCGGATTAATTTCACTGTTGTATGCCAAGACAGTAGAGTTGAGTGTCGCTGCTGTTGATCCAACAGCTGCTGTCACGCTTATGAGCGCGGATATTGAACGAATCCATACCGGTTGGCAAACCATTCATGATATATGGGCAAATGTAATCGAAATCGGGCTTGCTATTTTCCTTCTTTACAGACAGCTTGGTATAGCATGTTTAATACCTGTTGCCGTCGCGATTTGTAGGATCCCCAGTCCCTCTCACAAGCTACCCTAAGCTGACTATAGCTCAGTCTCGATGAGCGGGTCTATCGTTGCATCTGCACTAGTCATGCCACGTCAAGCACTATGGCTACAAGCAATCGAAAAACGAATTGCTGCTACAGCAGCAATGTTAAATGCTATGAAGGGCATCAAAATGTTTGGCTTGACCGATGTTCTGACCAAGACCCTTCAGGATCTCCGGGTGAAAGAACTCAATATCTCCAAAAAGTTTAGAAAGATACTTGTCTGGAATATGGTTTTCAGTAAGACTTCCAAATCCGTGCGCTTAAACATTCGCTTAGCTAAACAATTTGTTCTTAGGCTTCAGTACTCCAGTGATAGCACCCATTCTCACTTTCACTGTATTCTCAGTATTGGCACGCAACAGCGGTAGTAGCAGAACTCTTGATACGAACCGCGTTTTCACCTCTCTCTCTCTCTTCACATTACTTTCCGATCCCCTCGGATCACTAGTCATGGGTCTCGCGAATTTCATGGGCTCAGTAGGCTCTATCCATCGAATTCAAGAATTTCTTGAATCCGAAGTGCGAGCTGACAGTCGGGAGATCTTGGCACCATTTGAACATCACAAAACGGCACATCAACCATCTGCCAGTTCCTCAGCAACACAATCTGTTTTGGATGTTGATATCCCACCCGATTATCCGTTTGCAATTGCAAACTCTATTATTGTGCAAGATGCGTCTTTCGGCTGGGAAAAGGAGAAATATCCTATTCTCACATCGATCAATATGACCGTTCCCCAGCATGAATTTACAATACTGATTGGACCTGTTGGTTGTGGTAAAAGTACAGTTCTAAAAGCTATTCTTGGAGAGGCTATTACCATGGAAGGTAGAATTCAGATTTCCAATCCCGAGGTAGCGTTTTGCGATCAAAACCCTTGGCATATGAATGGTTCGATCAGACAAAGTATTATAGGGGTAGCATCAATGGATGAACATTGGTACGATTCGGTGGTTCTTGCTTGTACATTGAAAGAAGATTTTAAACATCTGCCGAAAGGGGATAGAACAGCAATCGGTAGCAGCGGAATCGCTCTGTCTGGCGGACAGAGTCAGAGAATTGTAAGATTCAATCAAATCCTGTCGATCCTTAATTGGTTTACTGATACGACTACAGGCGCTAGCTAGAGCTGTGTACGCTCGTAAAGACATCATGGTTCTGGATGACGTGTTTCGTGGTTTGGATCCAGAAAGCGAGAATCAAATCTTCTACAACCTCTTTAGTGAAAGAGGACTTTTGCGCAAACATCAAACGACCGTTCTCCTTGCCTCATCTTCTGGTAACCTCACTTCACGATGTCTCGAGTTGCAAAGCTAACTATGATACAGTCAAACGCCTACCATACGCAGACCACATTATCGTTCTTGATGCTGAAAGAAAAGTCTCTGAACAAGGCACTTTCTCTGGACTTAATGAAGTGGGAGGTTATGTGGCTTCACTCAATCTGTCACCACCAGACTGGAAAGAAGATATTGATGCCATACTTCCTTTCTATGATGGAGCTGGGAAGTCTGGAAAAACTCCTTATAGAGAAGCGGCGTTCTCCGAGAAACTCGATTTTGAGTTGATTCCCGAGGAAGAGGAGGAGGCCATAGCTGATGATGCCAGTAGGAGAGTTGGTGATACCTCGGTCTATATGTATTACTTTAAAGCTGTGGGGTGGCTGCCAACGATAATCTTCGTTGTTGGAATGTGCGGATTCGTGGTTTGCTTTTCTCTACCCCGTAAGACTTTTTTTCCCTTGTGGTATACTGATTTTGCTAACTCGACATAGCTATTTGGGTACGGTGGTGGGCTAAAGATAATGCCCTTTATCCAAATGCGCACATGGCCTACTACTTGGGCATATATGGACTCCTTGGTGGTTTGTCTCTAATTTGTCTTATTGTCGCTGGCTGGTAAGGAAATACAAATTTGAGGCATCGCACCCGTTCGCATGCTAAAATTCGATAGGGAGATGATCATCAATATGGTGCCAAAATCGGGCGAGAATTTTCACTGGATACTTCTTAATACAGTGCTAAAGTATGTAGAGAAGCTCTTGCCCCCATTCTATCTCGCTGACCAGCCCAAAACAGATCACCAATGTCTTTCTTCTCTACCACTGATTCCGGCATCACTCTCAACCGCTTCAGCCAAGATCTCCAGCTAATAGACATGGATCTCCCCGTCGCAGCACTGAATACCTTTGCAAGTAAGACCTCCCTCATTCCCTCTTGACTCATCACAAGCAAAATACTAAATAGAATAGCCCTGATCCTCTGTCTGGCCCAAATAATCATAATCGGCGTCTCCTCAATCTACGCCCCTATTTCCTTCCCCATAATTCTCGGCCTCCTCTACCTAATCCAAAGGGTCTACCTACGCACCAGTCGACAAATCCGTCTTCTTGATCTCGAAGCCAAGAGTCCACTCTACACAACCTTCCTCGAAACACTCCAAGGACTCCCCACAATCCGCGCCTTCTCTTGGGGTCCCCATCTCATCTCTCACTCCCTTTCTCTCCTCGATACATCACAAAAGCCATTCTACGCACTGTTTGCCGTCCAACGCTGGCTTGTCTTAGTGCTTGATCTAGTAGTTGCGGGTATTGCGATATTGCTTTGTGTTTTGGTTGTATCATTGAGAGGGACGATTGATGCTGGGTTTGTTGGGGTGGCGTTGCTGAATGTTGTGCTTTTTGGACAGAGTGTTAAGCTGTTGCTTACGTATTGGACGAATTTGGAGACGCATATCGGTAGTATTGCAAGGGTGAAGGCTTTTACCGAGGAAGCGAAGAGTGAAGGAAATGATCTGGGTGGTGGTGAGAGAAAAACGCCCCCAGAAAGCTGGCCGGAGAGAGGCGAGATTCTTTTTGAGGGCGTCTCAGCAGGATACAAGTATGTTTCCTTCCAATTGATTGCCTTCACTTGTACCAAGAGATATTATTCACTAACACAATATCAGAACCGACGAATTGGTACTAAAAAACGTCACTCTTTCCATCCCCGCCGGTGAAAAATTTGGAATCTGTGGCCGTACAGGAAGGCAAGCCCACCCGTCCCCTTTTCTCCCTCGCCTAATTACTAACCACCCCCCAGCGGCAAATCCACCCTCCTCACCACCCTTTTCCGTCTCCTCCCCCTGGCCGAGGGAACAATAAAGATAGACTCCATCCCCATCAACACAATCCCTCTTCAACACCTTCGTACCCATCTCAACATCATACCACAAGATCCCTATTTCCTCGCCGGTTCCGTGCGCTTGAACGCTGATCCCTTGGGACAAGCTAACGATGACGATATCATCGCTGCATTGAAGACCGTAGAACTCTGGGATGTGGTTTTAGAGAAGGTACGTGAGTCCAAAGGAACGGATGCGAGTAAGGAGAAGATTGGAAAGGGGGATACGAAAGGTATGAAAGAACAAGGTTTGGGACTAGACATCGAGAAATTGCATTTATCATGCGGACAACAACAAGTCTTCTGTCTCGCCCGAGCTATATTGCGAAAGATGCAAGTGTTAGTATTGGATGAGGCGACGTCTAGGTACTTTCTTCCAGCCCATCCCATCCCTTCTTCTCACTCTATAAACCTGTTCTAATACACCCACCACAGCGTCGACACCCAAACCGACAATCTCATGCAATCCATCTTGCGTTCCAAATTCCACAAGCAAACCATCATAGCAGTAGCCCACCGTCTCGATACAATCCTTGATTTCGACCGGGTCGCGGTACTTGAGGATGGGGAGGTGGTGGAGGTTGGGCCGCCTTATGAGTTGCTTGCCATGGAGGGGGGACGATTCAGAGCTTTATATTACAGTGGTCAGAGGGAGGAAGATGGGGATTTGGGTGCTGTGGGGAAAGGGTAGGATCTGGAATTGAAGCTTGAGACGTGAAATTTGGAAAGGATCGAGGGTTGTTTTGCGAGGAAAAGGGGAGTCGTGAAAATTGTAGCCAAAATTGTAGCTCATATTTCCCAGTACTGTATTTAGTTTTAGTATATACGAAGAATGAAACTATCTGATATGCGATAGAGTTACCTTCCTGAAATAACACTTGCTTACCTGCCAAGTATCCTAATCTATCGTAGGCTCGCGGAATTGATGTTTCCGTAAAGAAATCTCGCGCTACTAATACATCTATATCTCCACTGTTTCTAGCTAATTACCTAGGCAGATTCTAGGAATGCTTACTAGTGATACAAGAGGGGATTTTGAATGTATCACGAAAAGGGGTACGGTAATCGAAGAGTACTGAACGTAGTCTCATTTTGTCTATTTAAGAACGTTGAAGGAGTCGACTCGAAGCGTTCGAGTACTTATGGTATCTTTTAGCCTCAGTTAGTCTAAAGTATTTAAACACTCTAACAACTTTAAGATAATTAATATATGGATTTGATTACCCCGACTAACTGTCAACTGAAAAAACTAAATAGTCCAATTGAATTAATAGAAAAGGAATGCCTGCCAGTTTTCTTCATGTTTGATATGCTGGGGGAGACTCCGACATAGCTCCGAGACCGGGGTGTATCCCCCGAGAACCACTCTACGCGACTTCCCTACAAGCAACGCGTCTTCCTTCCACACGCAAAATCCCAACCTCACCCTCACAACTCAATTTCCAAACCACCACCACCAAACCCCTCCAAAGATGGCTCTCCTAGTAGACAAACACCGACCCCGCTCCCTCGACCAACTAACCTACCACCAAGACCTCTCCGCGCGTCTACGCTCCCTCGTACGTTCCCCCCTCAACCCCAACGCACCCCTAACAAAAAAACACAGGCACAATCCGGCGACTTCCCCCACCTCCTCGTCTACGGGCCCTCCGGCGCAGGAAAGAAAACCCGCATCGTCGCCACCCTAAAAGAGCTCTACGGCCCCGGAGTCGAGAAGATCAAAATCGACTCGCGGGTCTTCCAAACGACATCGAACCGGAAACTCGAATTCAACATCGTCGCCTCGGTCTACCACTTAGAAATCACGCCGTCGGACGTGGGGAACTACGACCGCGTCGTGGTGCAGGATCTACTGAAAGAAGTGGCGCAGACGCAGCAGGTTGATCAGAGTGCCAAGCAGAAGTTCAAGGTGGTGGTTATCAATGAGGCGGACCATTTGACGCGGGATGCGCAGGCGGCGCTGAGGAGGACGATGGAGAAGTATAGTCCGAATTTGAGGTTGATTTTGTTGGCGAATAGCACGGCGAATATCATTGCGCCGATTCGCTCGAGGACGTTGTTGGTGAGGGTTCCTGCGCCGACGGAGGGGGAGATCTGCGATGTGCTTGCGAAGAGTGGGAAGAAAGAGGGATTCCCCGCTGCAAGGGAGCTGGAGAAGAGGATTGCGAGGGAGAGTGGCAGGAATTTGAGGAGGGCGTTGTTGATGTTTGAAGCTTGTCATGCGCAGAAGTATGCTCCCCTTCCCCATCCTATCCCTTCAAAATCAGAGTGGGACTAATGACCAACAGCGAGAAAGTAACAGAAACGACACCCATCCCACCCCCAGATTGGGAAGCTCTCATCTCCACCGTCGCCAAAGAAATGGTCGAAGAACACAATCCCGCACGCATCCTGCAAGTCCGAGCGAAACTCTACGATCTCCTGACCCATTGCATTCCACCCAGTATGATTCTCAAGACCTTGACCTTTAAGCTGATACCCTTGGTGGATGATGCGTTGAAGTCGGATATCGTGAAATGGAGTGCGTTTTATGAACATCGGATTCGATTAGGGACGAAGTCTATTTTTCATTTGGAGGCTTTTGTAGCGAAGTTTATGAGGATTTGTGAGGAGCATGAGATGGAGATGGAATTTTAAAAAGTTGGGGTTATAGGGAGTGGACATTTGGCGTTTGGAAGGAGGGGGCGTTTCGTGTGTGTATCTACTGGACTATTGTCATGCGTGATGCCATAGCACGAGCTTATAGGGTTCTTTGATTGCTTTGGCAAATTCGGAATCATTATTTTTGATTTGTATAATACAGAAACATGTCACAATCAGCACTACTTGCTATAATCTCCATCCGTCCACCATTTTCTCCAACTTCAACGGCACTTGGCCATATTCTTCACCCCTTCACAGCCCTACTGACCCTGATCTGACCCGTCCCATCATCACCACCTCACCACTCACTCGCTCCCCTCTTCCTCCTCCCTCTTCCTCTTCCCCCTCGCATCCCCCTCCCCGACCAATCTCCCATCCTTCCACACCCACCCCGCCCTCTGCAACCTCCTCCACTCTTCCCCAATCTTATACCGTACCAACATGCCCGCAGCATTAGCATCCTCCTTACTATCATGACCAAGAGCCTTCCCATCAACCACAACCTGAATCTGACGGTTCAGATGCTGAGCCATCAGGTCCTTGAGCCTATTCCGATAAGGCAGTCCTGCTTTATGGGGAAAGAGGAGGACGGTATCGATGATGGTTGGGTGGACGATGCGGGTTGCGTTGAGGTCGTTTTCTAGGCCGTGGCCAATTAGGGGGGTGCTGGGGGAGAGGTGTGAGAAGAGGAGGGCGCGCGCGGCGGAGGGGGAGGAGACGATTTGTAGGGCCTCCGGTTGGGCGGTGGAATCAGTTGGTGAGCTGGGGGATGGTGTGTAGGGGAGCGCGTTGGCTAGGTCTTTTGGGTAGACGCCTGAATAGCGGGAATTCAGATCTAGGATTCCGCCTTGGGGTTTGACGAGGACGTCGAAGATGGCATCTCCCGAAGGCCACGAAGTGGCGGTTAGGCGGATGAGTTCGAGTCCGTAGACTGTATATCCCATTTCTCCGTCAATACATACTGGATTTGATTCCTCCTTACCAGGGTTCTCTGGTGTCTCTTCGAAATTAAGGACTGCTGCGAGACGTTTGACTTCTGTGATTTTAAATACGTGAGAATCGGCTTTGGTGCAACCAGGAGATTCTCCGAGAACCTGTTTACAGCAGCGGAATTTCTTTTGTCGTTTTGCAGTTGGGTCGTTGGGGTTGCGATCTTCCCAGAAGGGTTTGCCGTAGTGATATGTACAGTGTCCTCCTGAGGCGAATACTCCGTCTTCTTCTCGTCTATCTGGGAAGACTTGGAATCTCGTCTTACAGCGGTCACAGATTTCCCACCCTTTGGACGCTTCCATTCCACTTTTGGCGGATTCAATTTCTTTGGGGGTGGGAATGGTGCTTACATAACCGTGTAATGAGAGGTCTTCGACAGGCGTGCAGAGTCTTGGGAGGAAGGCGAGCTCTTCTTTGGGTGTGAGTCCATTCACAATGGGTTTTGGGGGTTCTCCAGGTTGGAAGACGGGTAGGTTGGACTTGGGCTTCTCTCTAGCCTGTTGCTCTGCGAGTTCCTCCGCAACTTCCTTTGCTCTTTCTTCTTTCCATTGCCCAACGCTCATCCGTTTGTAAAGCATAATTTTGTTCTTCACAACATTGGAGTAAATGCTTGGTTGGCCACAAGCCCCCTGCTCGAGATCCAAAGCCATAGTGATAAGAGCTTGCTCTGAGAGCACAAGCTTTTCCTCAGTATCATTTGCTTCCTTTTCCAATTCAGAATTTAGGCGCTTGAGTTGTTCATGGAGAGCGCGCACGAGACGAAACCTAATCTCGTGGGTTGCTGGTGATGGAATCCCAAGAGCTCGTGGGTTCAAAGCTTCTTTCTTTGGGGGCGCCTTGACAAATGTTTTCTTCTCCTCAGCTGGTTTGCTGGGTATTTGCACAGTACTCGTGCTGGGTGCTCGTGACACATTGTTGGTCGGTTTTGATACAGTGGAATTGCTCCCTGCAAGACTCTGACTGGGCTTTTTTCGTAACGGAGGGGGCGATACTTCTCGATTCAGAGACGTGTGAGGTTTGCTTGATCTCTCGTTCAATTCCGCATTTGTTTTCAATTTTGCTGGAGCAGGTTTACTGATTTCTCGCTCAACAGTATGACTCTCGCTGTCTAACTTCTGTCTTTTTCTTCCTGGTTCTGCTTGTGGTTTTTGGTCGTCAACTTGAGCAGGGACCTCATTCTGGGTCGAGGGAGATGGCGCGTCTATGAGTCCTTTGGAGTGCGCAAAGATGCATCTTGGTAATACACATGTCTCCTGATATGGACATTGTATGTTTGAAAATAGACCTTTGGACGTAAACATGTTGGTGTTTAGAGGTTCCTCGGAAAAAGTGGTGTCTTGGAGGTGGTTATGGACGGTCAAGCATGTCGTGGATGATATGACCTTTCATAGATCTCTGGTACCTCCTGCAAGGCTGTCAATCTAAGATCTATGCTTCAGCCTCGAACAGAACGTCCGTACAAGAGTGAAGCGACTTCAGCTCCAAACAGGGTTGATATCACGTGAACGGAGGTCTCAATACATCCATGGATATTCTGGGTCTTGATGTATTTGTAGGGCGGTTGAGTGAGATGAAGCGGCCAAGTCTGAAATTTGAGGTTGAAGACTCTTTGTTTCACGGACGAGATAGGATCAGCCTCAAAGAACAAACAAAACTGAGTATGAATGGCACCAAATATTTTGGAAGTGCATACTCATCCAAGCCCGACCGAGAGTCTACGGTTTCTGAGACTTGGGCTCGATTCGATGGCAGATGTGGAATTTGCAGTCATCCCCTGCGATGCCCAAAGTTTGAGGTCAATTAAATCGCTAGAACCTCGGTCTAGACCTTTTAGTGAGAGCGACGAGTAACCTCAGGCTCCTCGTGGACAAGAAAAGTGGCTGAGACCCCTTTCATAAAAACTGTTCTATTATATTATTTATCTAGAATAATAAACATGATTAATCTAAAAGGATAGGACAATAAAGGTAAGAAACATCAAGAACTGCCACCATTTTTTTTTTTTTGAGACGGGGTATCCCAGCACGATAGGTAGCCGTCGGTGAGGCTCGAGCTGGCCAGAGCCTTTCTTATCAGTGTAAGCAGCGATAACAGCCGGAGCCGGAGCGTTGGATTCACAGGCACAGGCACAGGGTCGTCATCTACGGAGTACTCCCGTGCATGATCAAATACCCATACTCGTACCCGATACTTAAAGATAAGTCCTTTGCCCCTTCCCCCTCCCCCTTCCCCGTTTCCCCTCTCCCCTCTCCTCCTTAGGTCGTTCTTTCCCCTGATTGCCCTTTTGCATGCATATGCGTTCTGCTTGAGCCTTTTACCCGTGCCCGCGGGCCATACAACTTTCACCTGCAGCTGGAGCGTAGCGTCCTTCAAGCACCCGACTTCTGCACTCTCACTCCCCGCTTCGGAGCTTCCCCGTCCCGACGTCATTCGCCCCTGTCCATTTTCCTGCAACCAATCAGACCGACTGTGCCTGCGCCAGCCCCACGCTCTCAGCCTTACCTCCGAACGTGGCCTCGTCCAGTTACACACTTCTTTCCTTTCACTCCTTCAACCTAAACATCGCATTGTTACCCTTCTCATTTTCTTCCCTGGATCGGGCCTTTTTTTCAAACGAAATCATGGTAAACACCGGATCCAGCCGTGAGGCCCAACACCTATGCGTGTTGGTCCACGGGTGAGTAGTATTCTTACTTGCAACCTCCGTCTGGCCACAGTTCTGCGCTTATGCTAACAATGGACCGCAAAGACTATGGGGAAACCCAAACCACCTCGAGCAGATGGCTCTGGCCCTGCGAGAGAAACATCCTGAACAATCCCTCCATATCCTCGTCGCCAAACGTAACAGTGGTAGCTTTACCTACGATGGCATTGAGTTGGGTGGCGAGCGGGTGTGCCAGGAGATTGAGGAAGAAATAGAGAAGCTGGCAAAGGAAGGCCAGGAAATAAAGCGGTTGTCGTTAGTGGGATACTCCCTAGGCGGACTCGTGGCAAGATACGCCGTCGGTTTGCTTGACAGCAAAGGCGTTTTTGACAAGATTACGCCGGTGGTGAGTGGCGCAATTGCTGATGCCGGGACTAGACGATGCTAACGAAGGCAGAACTTTAACACTTTCGCAACTCCCCACTTGGGAGTTCGAACACCGTTGAGGGGCTGGCACAATCACTTGTGGAATGTTCTTGGTGCTCGAACTCTATCACAATCTGGCCGGCAATTGTTTACAATAGACAAGTTCCGAGGTACAGATAAACCATTGTTGGAAGTTCTTGCGGATCCCGAGTCCATCTTCGTCAAGGGCCTCGCTAAATTCGAAAGAAGGACGTTATACACAAATGTAGTCAATGATCTCAGTGCAGTTCACTACACCACTGGAATCGCAAAGAAAGATCCATATATCAATTTAGACAAACTGAAACTGAATTACTTGGAGGGCTATGACAACATCATACTCGACCCAAAGAACCCCGTTTCTCCACTGGATCCAGAAGAATCACAATTTACCTTTTCCGAGAGGTTTGTGAAAACCAGCCAAACTACATTTGGTCGACTACCTTTCCTGATGGCCATGATTGTATTCGTTCCAGTCGGTGTAGTGGCATTCTTACTAAACTCCGTTGTTCAATCCCTACGAAGCAATCGAAGAATCAAGCTCCATGAAATGGGTCTAGCTGGAATAGAGCCTCAAAATTATCGTATGCCCCTTTTATTCAAAGGCATGCGAGGAGCAGTTGAGGATGCATACGAAAATCTCAATAACGCACAAAGCCAGGAGTACCTTGTCGCTGGAACAGAAGAGGAGTCTGCCACAGAAGAATCTGGTTCCTCTCAATCATCCTCGTCCCTTGACAAGCCCGTCAACGTTCATCATGAATCTTCTGAAAACCCATCGCCACGTGATTTATCACGTGACTCACCAACTCTTGCCCTCGCGCCTCATCAATTCAGAATGGTTCAAACCCTTGATAGTGTTGGTTGGCGCAAATACCCTGTGCATATCCATAAAGTGAGGCATAGTCACGCGGCGATTGTTTTCCGTGTAAACAAACCACGGTACGACGAAGGCAAAGTAGTCTTTCGTCATTGGCTTGATGAGGAATTTATTCTATAATAAATAACTCTGTATACACCCTGAGAACCCATTGTACGAGATTTCCTGGAACAAGCAACTTAATTATCCTAAATCACTTAGACAACCATTTTCATTATACGAGAACTTTAGAACAATTAACTTCATTGTCCCAAATCACATAGGTCAACAAAGATATATTAATCTCAATTATCCTAAATCACTTAGACAACCATTTTAATCATACGAGAATTTTAGAATAATATCTTTTTCTAACCTAGGTGGGTACAGAGTTTCGTCCAACGGTCTTACTTACACTGTACTACTATTCCACAGCAGCGAGATTCCTTTTTCTACACCTTATGTAGTAGTTAGCTAGAACTATTTCGTCAAGATAATATATCTCACTTTCTTCATTTCTCACGGTCGTGAATTCGTTTGTTTATCGCGTGTAGATGTATGGTGACGAAATGTCTTACTCGTATATCCTTCTTGTGAAGAATGGAAGTATATCCCCCTTTTTTTTCGGTAATTGACCGAAATACCCCCTAATTTATTATAAATCAATAAAATACCCCCTAAATTAATACCCCTTAAAAAGGTCGAAGAAAAGGGGTAGTTCTATTACCATCGCTTAGAAAGTAGGGTAGTTCTATTAGTTAACCTTTACTTCTTTTTATATAGTACTATACCTATTTTCTAGTGAACTAAAGCTGTAGCGCTATAGCGCTAATACTGTTTTCCTTATATAATAATAACTTCTCTCTGCTACTATCTCTACTACTACTACTACTACTACTACTCCTACTACTATACTAGCTAGTCAGTATCTAAAGAGGCTTCGCGAGGATAATCTAGTACTATAGCGTAATCTTAAGAAACAGCTAGCGTAGTAAGAAGACTTGAAACTTAGTAAGGAGTAGCCTAGTATCTATAACGTAAAAGAGGCTATAAAGTTTACTCTACTTAATAACAACTTATCCTTTAATGTTCTTAAATTAGATAAAAAGTACTTTAAACTTAATCATAAGAATAAGGATTCGAATTACGAATTCTACCTACGAGTTAACCTATTAAAAAAGTTAGTACGCGCTATTCTTACTATATATATACCTTATACTTGTTTACTTAGTACGTATATCTTGAACCGCGGTAAAAACTCTATTAAATATATCTGTGACGGTTCTCACCGCCACCACGCTACAGACCAGCCCTGGCTGGAACCCGGCGGCCACCATGCGTCAAACGAGCCCCTGGCTGAGACTCGGCTAAGGCATGGCCCTTGGCGCCACCTCCTGTATTTAAGAGCCTCTGGCTCTTGAGCTTCTGTCCTTCCTTCTCTTCTCTCCTTAGCTTAGAATCTTCGAATAGACAGTTCTACGATTCCATAACCTACACCTTGGACGCTCCTTGAGCAACATATCGTAAGTATCGTCACAATATCCTTCGTAACTATAGCGAAGTAATCGAACAAGATCTAAATCTTAAAAGTAATACCTTAGTAAATAATAACATATCTTATAGACGAGGCTATATAATTCTATTACGTTAAGTATATCGAGCTATATAATAATAATATAAGGAAAGTCTTAAAAACAAGTAGGAGGTATTTAAGCTCTTTCTAAGTTATATTATAAAACTCTAGGAGTTAGATCTAGACTACTATCTCTCTCTTTAATATATAGATAGAAAAGATAACGTTCCTAATAGAACCTTAAAGAAGTTTTTATTATACTTATACTACTCCGAAAAGCTATTAAATACTTTTATTACTTCCTTATAATTAATAGTACGTATACCCGGTTAAAGTATAAGATAGTTCTTATAATAACTATTACTATTAACGTAAACGATAAAGTACTAATAATTTATTAGAGTATTATATTAACTAAAAACAAAAAGTATTAAAAGTAGTATTTTAAGTATAACTTATAAGATTTACCTTTATAATACTCTACTAAATATAACCTAAGAATAAGAAATAGGTACTAATTAGTAATTACTAGAAGGGTTTATATAAGGAGCTCCTATAAGTATTTCTATAAGCTTACGTACTCGTATATTATTAATATATTACTAATAATATCGCCTTTTAATATAGCTAGGCTACGCGGAAGCTTTAGTAAGTACTTTATAGAATAAGAGACTAAGAGACTTAGAATAATATATTCTTAAAGATTAAAAAGAATAAGAAGAAATACTATAAAAGGGAGACGTTAGCTAATTATATTAATATAATTACGCCGGATATATATTTAAAGTACGTTATAATTAAGAAAAAGCTATCTCGATTTAGCTACGATACTTTAAATATTATAGAGAGCGTTAACTTAATATAGAGCCTCTTTTATAATAAATAACTACTATAAATACTCGACGTAATATAAACCTAGGTCCTATAAAAGTTCTATTAACGTTATACCTTAATTACTCGGAACACTAAACTCGTAAACAGGCTATAGAAGTAGTATAATAAACGATTAGCCTACGCTCGAAAGTACGACGTAATACCCTATAGCGGAGACGTCTTTTAAGTTAATACGCCTATAAAACACTACTATCGAGTTAATCTTAATAACCGTATATATACTTGTCTTATCTTTTAAGATTACTAGTTACCTTATTTATATACTATTCTATATTATAAAGATCTTATAATTAATCCTATTTAGTTCTTTTACCCCGGATATTTGCTCGTAAGTTATAAAGCTATATATAATAGTACCTTTAAGCCGATACTTATAATAGATAAACTTAAACTAGATTATATAATACTCTTACTAGAGATTAAGCTTTACGTTATTAGACTAAAGAAGGCTCGGATTTATAGGAACTATAAACTATCTAATTATAAGTATACTGTTGATACGACTGTACAGGTTTGTTCTCTCTCTCTCTCTCTCAAAGTGTGACACAAAGTAAGCGCGCTGATTCTCGATTGTATTCTGTGTCTTCCTCCTATCTACAATTGCTTCGGACGATGGGTAAAAGAGTGTGGGTGTCTGATACGAAACACGTATCAGATGCGTGGGGAAAAACGTGACATAGGAAAACGTGACCTGCACCGCTGAAAACCCGAATGCCAGCATTCCAACAATTCTAGTATTCCCAACACTGGCAATCTTTTCTTTTCTTAATCCCGTGAACAGGATAGACAAGGTAAAAGGAATACTAGTCGCTCCTTCCTCCAAAAGAGTGTGATGTCTTCGTACGAAATCAAAAGCTTGGCGTTTGGTTCCTTCCCGCGAAGTTCGTACAAAGCGTT